AGGGTCACTGCCTTCAGTCCTCCACATGTATGCGCATGTGCATGTATTCTCCCTGCGGATTAAGACTGGAATGCCATTAAAGTTTGTGTGCATGTAAAGGCAGGCCTCCCAATACTTTTAGCAAGATAGTGTATTTGTCCAAATCTTCCCCAAACAGCCATTCCCCATGAAAAACGAAAACCCGCCAATAATTTTTTGCATGGCAGTTTTGCCAACCAACTCTTCAGCCACAAAACTGCACATGTGCACTGATAAGAGGGCCAAGCGAGAAATTTGCTGAATTGAATCCTCCAAATCCTCGGCCGAGCATTCCCTTTGCACTTATGGTCTTCCAATTTGCTGCTTGAAACGGTCGGAAAGACTCTGGCAAATGCCAATAGGTGCCACAGCTGGCAGCGCGGACAGACCCTGCCATGGAGAAGGAGGCCTTAAGGAGAGACATGTTAAAGATTTATTCAGGGATGAAAGAGCTGCATCCAATAGAGGAAAGCCCTATTTCTTAAACTTTTGTTCCATGGGGTACAAAACAGAAAATCTCTTTGGTGGAACAAAACCCCGTCTGGGTGATCCCAGTCGGCATACATAATTTTCTCCAGAAGAGGGTGGACCGGAAAGGCCCGAGTACTCTGTGAAGGATTCAAAGAGCCCAGGGAAGAATAAGTAACCTCAGGGGTTTCTATCGGAGGTAGCCTGAATCCAGACCGTAATATATTAGTGAGGTCTTGGACTAACAATCTCTGAAACTGGGAGACAGAGACCTCTTGCTTTTCCTCAGGCTGTGACCCCTCAGACCAATACTTCTGCCTGACCTTCCTTATCCTCAGGCTCCATCCATTCCTGCTCCAGGATTGATGGTTCTAGTGACGGGGATTTATCCCGCTTAGTCCCCTGAGAAACCAATGCAATCACCCCAGCGATCTTATCTTCTAAACCTACTAAGGCTGAAGCAAGATCATCCTTGGTTACCTATGCTGAGGCAGAAGAACCAGTAGTAGCCACAATGCCAGATAGACGCAGCGGCTCAGACTGCCCAGTCACTTCTGGCCTGTCAGGAGAAGATATTTCAGCGGGCCTTCGGCTAGGTTTCTCAGGACTTGGCAGTGGTACATTAGTGCCCTTTGCTGCCGCACCTCCCCTACTCTGCTTTCTGGAAGACATTACTTCAGATAGCACAAACCTGTGCACCTCCACTAGTAACAAAGGTCACAATGATACAGCTATGCAAGTAGTGTGCTGAAGTAAAAGCACTCAATGCAAATGCTGCCTTATGAACCACCTAGAGTGGGGAGTACTCACTTGCCCCTACAGAATCGCCTGCTCTGTGTCCCAGCCACAAGAGATCTCTCAGCAGCAGCCCTTGTGTGTCCTGGCCTCCAGATAAACAAAATATGGCACACTTCTGTTTCTGGCAGCCCTCCCTCTAGTGGCTGAAAAAAAAAAGAGCAAGCACATCTCAGGAACAACATTGAGCACTCCCCCTGGTGGAAACTTACATTCAAAACATCTCTCCTTTTCCCTGCTTCTCTTTACAAAGAAAAAAAAGGAGATATATTACGAGTCCCGCCGCAGGTCCCTGACTTCCGTCAGGCACCAACCTTCACCCAACATGGTGGGCACGGTCACACAGACCAAGGACTCAGTCCCCATACTGTGGGGCTACTGCCTCAGACCTGTATAGCACCCCGCTGGAAGTGCTTTGGTCAGATTTTAGAACTGCACACGGTTCCATCTGTGCAGGGTCCAGCGCTGTACAGCTGCATTACAGGCAAAACCTTGAGAATTCTCCAAATCCAGCAAGGCTTGGTTAACCATCCATTTTAGCTCATAGCCTTCCAAATAGACCAGATTAAAGTCCTTGATTCTCTCATGGAACTGTCCTGGACATTCAGGTATGCTCCAAGAGCCCAGCAACACTTTCAGTGACAATCCACCTTACAGATACTGGTGAAAAAACTAAAGTAACTGAAGTACTTAATGTATAGGAGGGGTTATATAGGGGAGGACCTCCTCTCTGATTGGCTGGCCAGTGTCCATTCACCTATAGGTGGCCTATAACCCATATATATATATATATATATATATATATATATATATATATACATACACACACACAGCGCTAAAAGATAATTTCCATAAAAGACAAATTTCCGTAACAACATAAAATAAACGTATAAAGCAAAGTTTCAATGGTGTTCAAAGACGCTAAACAGCATACAGAACAGGCTTTGTGTGAAAGTTATAGTGCCTACAAACTATGGTATAGATACTGTAATTTATGCAATTTTTTGCTATACAGCGCTGCACTAGTTTAACTGACAATTGCGCGGTCATGCAATGCTGTACATAAATGAAATTTATGTCCTTTTTTTCGCACAAATAGAGATTTCTTTTGGTGGTATTTGATCGACTGTGCGCTTATTTTTTGCGCTATAAAACAAAAAAAACCCACAATTTTGAAAAAAAAAAAAAAAAAAAAGGAACATTTGAGTACTGTCCGTGATACTTTTTTATTTGCACTAACATACAATTTTGAGGACAAGCTTTCAGGGGATGTCCCCTTCTTCAGGTCCAAGCAGTACTGATCACAATGTTTTAGCAGAATGTTGGAAGAGATGTAGGGGATAGGAAAAAAAAAAAAGAACAGAGATAAGACACAGCAAAAGCAAAGTCTGGGGGGGGTGGGGGGGAAACAACACACTCACAGAGGCAGTCCTGCTTGAGGTTGAGGTGATAGTCAGAAAACTGTTGGATAATGAGTGAGGAATCCCATGTCCAAATTCAGGCCGTTATCTCTTGTGTCACATAGAATTATCATTCTTAGTTCAAAAGTTTTTCTTTCCTGAATGGATTTGAAATTTCCTTTAAGAACTAAAATATTGAGGTCTCCCAAAGTGTGGTCTGGTTGCAAACCAGAGGATAAAGGGGGAGCAGTTGTTGTGATGGATTCAAACAAATACATACAAGAAGGCCAGAGGCAGCTGGAAAATGCCATCTACTATAAGAAACTGGATTATGATCCGACCCAGGACTTTGCAAAGCAATTAAAAGGTCTCATTAAAACACTTCCAGCCCACCTACATTCAGAAGTTATAAATGCGATTCCAGATCATCCAGAAATCAGGGACTTCTACATGCTGCCCAAAATCCACAAGCCAGGAAATCCAGGCAGACCCATCATAACAGGTATGAGCACACTCACCGAACAAATCTCAGGCTTTGTAGAAAAAAATTTTAAAACCGTTAGTCAAGAATACTGCTAGTTTCCTGCAAGACACAAGACACAACTGACTTTCTGAACAAGATCAACAACATACAGCAATTACCATCTAATACACTTCTAGTGACTAAGGATGTATTATCCCTGTATAGTATTATCCCTCAAGGATGGATTAGCTGCATGTCACAGATCCTTATCATCCTCACCAAACCACAAATACACTGCTGAGGATGTTACACAGCTCATTGAATTCATACTTACACACAACTACTTTACTTTTAATAAAGACATCTATTTTCAATGTATGGGTACTGCGATGGGAAGTAATATGGCACCCCAATATGCCAATTTATTTATGGCTGACCTGGAGGAAACATTCTTGAACAGCATGGAACAAAAACCATACAGATACTATCGCTATATTGATGATATTTTCATCATATGGACAGAAGGTGAAGAATACATAAAACAATTTTACTCATTGATCAACACTTTTCATCCATCAATCAAACTAAAAATGGAATACTCAAACACACATCAATGTCCTAGACACCACAGTATACATCAGGGATGATACGCTTCACACCTCAATATACAGGAAATCCACTGACAGATGCAACTACCTCCACAGTTCTAGCTTCCACCCCCAACACACAAAACGTGCCATCATACACAGTCAAGCCATTAGATACCACCAAATATGTTCTGACCCAAGAGACAGAGATAAACATCTCAAGACACTAGCAGACTCCTTCCATAAGAAAGGTTACATGGACAAAACTATCAACAACAGCATAAACACAGCTTTGAGAACCCAAAGAGAAAATCTACTTCAGTACAAGGAGAAAAAAAACAAACAACTGTGTACCTCTAGTAACCACACACAACCCAGCACTAGAAGGAATAACAAAAATAATCAAAAATTTACAACCCATCATAACAGAGGATGGAACTCTGAAAGAAATATTCCAGCAACCACCAATACTGGCCTTCAGACAACCCCCCAACCTCAGAAATAAACTAATCAGTAGGAAACTTCCTTCTGATTATGATGTCACAAATAATGGAAGCAAACCCTGCAATAAAAAACACTGCAAACTGTGCAACCAAATCAATCCATCAAAAAGTGTCAGACACTCAAAAGGGATCTTCAATATCTCCGGATCATACAGCTGCACCTCTAGTAATGTTGTGTACCTTATCCAGTGAAGAAAATGTAGCAAAGGATCTTATGTTGGCGAAACAGGACAGAAGTTGCAAACAAGGATGAATTTGCACAGACATACCATCAAGGAACATAAAGAAGATGACCTTTGCACACCTGTGGGACACCATTTCACACAACAAGACCACACTTTGGGATACCTCAATATTTTAGTTCTTAACCACTTGCCTACCGGGCACTTATACCCCCTTCTTTACCAGGCCAATTTTCAGCTTTCAGCGCTGTCGCACTTTGATTGACAATTGCGCAATCATGCAAGATTGTACCCATATGAAATTTTTATCATTTTTTTTTCTCACAAATAGAGCTTTATTTTGGTGGTATTTAATCGCCACTGGGCACTTTACTTTTTGCGCTATAAACAAAAAAAGTGCAAAAAAATTTGAAAAAAAAGTTTCTTTGTTTCAATTATAAAAATTTTCAAACAGGTAATTTTTCTCCTTCACTGATGTGCGTTGATGAGGCAGCACTGATGGGCACGGATATGCGGCACTGATAATGGGTACTGATAGACAGCACTGCTGGGCACTGACTGGCAGCACTGCTGGGCTGCACTGATGGGCACAGGTGGGTGGCACAGGTGAGTGGGCACAGGTTGGTGGCACTACTGGGCACAGGTGGGTGGCACTACTGGGCACAGGTAGGTGGCACTGCTGGGCACAGGTGGGCAGAACTTGTGGGTGGCACTGCTGGGCACCGATCATCAGGGCACTGATGATCAGTGCCCTGATGATCGGTGCCGATCCCTGCTCTGACAACTGCCGGTTCTCGGCAGTACTTTCCTCACGATCTGACAGCGCGAGGAAAGTGCAGCCGAGAACCGGCAATTGCATTTCCCTGTGATCAGCTTGTCATTGGACACGGCTGATCACGTGGTAAAAGGCCACTGTGATTGGCCTTTTACCACGTCACGTGATCAGCTGTGTCCGTAGGACACAGCATTCACCGGGTGCGCGCCCCCGGCAGAAGAGCACGTTCTGGGAGGACGTCATATGACGTCCACCCAGAACTGGCCAGCCGCAGTGCAGCCATCATTTGGCTATCTGCGGTCGGCAAGTAGTTAAAGGAAATTTCAAATCCATTCAGGAAAGAAAACTTTTGAACTAGCAATGATAATTCTATTTGACACAAGGGATAACGACCTGAATTTAGACATGGGATTTCTCACTCATTATCCAACAGTTTTATGACTATCACTTCAACCATGACTGCCTCTGAGTGTTGTCTCCCACCCCCCCCCCCCCCCCCCCCCCCCCCCCCCCCCCCCCCCCCCTCGACTTTGCTTTTGCTGTGTCTTATCTCTGTTCTCTTTTTTTTTTTTCCCATCCCCTGCATCTCTTTCAACATTCTGCTAAAACATTGTGATCAGTACTGCTTGGACCTGAAGAAGGGGACATCCCCCGAAAGCTTGTCCTCAAAATTGTATGTTAGTGCACATAAAAAAAGTATCACGGACAGTACTCAATTGTTTCAGTCGCAAATGCACAAATACGTCTACAATCACCTCAAGCGGAAAAAAACCATATTTTCTCATTTCTGTCATAAAAAATATCCACAAAACTCAAATGTTATAAATTTAGGGCAAAATGTATTCTGCTACATGTTTTTGGTAAAAAAAAAAAAATCCCAATAAGTGTACATTGATTGCTTTGTGTGAAAGTTATAGTGTCTACAAACTATGGTATAGATCACTTGAAATTTACACAGCTTTTACTTTCTGACTGCCTATCACATTTCTTGAGGGACTAAAATACTAGGATAGTACAAACACCCCCAAATGACCCCTTTTCGGAAATTAGACACCCTAAGCTATCTGCTGAGAGGCATATTGAGTCCATGGAAGATTTATTTTTTTTCCACAACATTTTGGAAAATGACAAAAACAGGTTTTTTGTTTTTTACACAAAGTTGTCACTTAACCTCTTGCCGACCGCGCATAGCCGAATGACGGCTTCACTGCGGCCGGCCAGTTCTGAGTGGACGTCATATGACGTCCTCCCAGAACGCGCTCTCCTGCGCGCCCCAGGGGGCGCGCACCCGGCGATCTCCGTGATCGCTGTGTCCTACGGACACAGCTGATCACGTGATGTGGTGAAAGGCCGATCCCACCGGCCTTTTACCACGTGATCAGCGGTGTCCAATGACACGCTGATCACAGGGAAATGCAAGTGCCGGTTCTCGGCTGCACTTTCCTCACGCTGTCAGATCGTGAGGAAAGTACTGCCGAGAACCGGCAGTTGTCAGAGCGGGGATCGGCACCGATCATCAGGGCACTGATGATCAGTGCCCTGATGATCGGTGCCCAGCAGTGACACCCGCAAGTTCCGCCCAGCAGTGCGCCCACTAGCCCCGCCACCCGTTCCCAGCAGTGCCCCCACCTGTGCCCAGCAGTGCCCCCACCTGTGCCACTCTGCAGTGCCACCTACCTGTGCCCAGAAGTGCCACCTACATGTGCCCAGCAGTGCCACCCACCTGTGCCCACCCACATGTGCCCACCAGTGCCACCCACCTGTGCCCACCCACCAGTGCCACCCACCAGTGCAGCCCAGCAGTGCTGCCAGTCAGTGCCACCAGTCAGTGCCCAGGGGTTGTGCCAGTCAGTGCCGCCAGTCAGTGCCCAGAAGTGATGCCAGTCAGTGCCGTCTATAGTACCCATCATCAGTGTCACCTATCAGTGCCGCCTATCAGTGCTGCATATCAGTGCCGCCTATCCGTGACCCCTAATTAGTGCTGTCTATCAGTGCCGCCTATCCGTGCCACCTCATTAGTACTGCCTATCAGTGCCCTTTAGTGCTGCCTATCAGTGCCCATCAGTGCCGCCTATCAGTGCCCATCAGTGCCGCCTCATCAACGCAAATCAGTGAAGGAGAAAAAATACCTGTTTGAAAAATTTTATAAAAGAAACAAACTTTTTTTTTTTTTCAAATTTTTTGCACTTTTTTTAATTTATAGCGCAAAAAGTAAAGCGCCCAGTGGCGATTAAATACCACCAAAAGAAAGCTCTATTTGTGAGAAAAAAATGATCAAAATTTCATATGGGTACAATGTTGCATGACCGCGCAATTGTCAATCAAAGTGCGGCAGCGCTGAAAGCTGAAAATTGGCCTGGTAAGGAAGGGGGTATAAGTGCCTGGTAGGCAAGTGGTTAAATAATATATTGCTCACAAAAACCCGGGGTATATGGGGAATTACACCCCAAAAGACATTCTGCTACTTCTACTGAGTATGGCGATACCACATGTGTGAGACTTTTTGGGAGCCTAGCCACATACAGGAGCCTGAAATCCAATGACCACTTTGAAAGCCTGAAGATGCTTAACTTCTTCATTTCACTTCCTCAATACCTATCACAGTTTCGGAGCCTATGAAATGCCAGGATAGCACCAAAACCGCCCCAAATGACCCATTTTTTGGAACGTAGACACTCCAAGGAATTTAAAAAGGAGGCATGATAAGTATTTTGCAGATCTCATTTTTTCTCACAAGGTTTTGAAATATATAAAAAAAGAAAAGAAAAAAAATATGTTTTTGTTTTCTTTCTTCATTTTCCAAAAACTTGTGGCAACAAATGAGATCTGCAAAATACTAACCATGCTTCTTATCAAATTCCTTGGGGTGTCTACTTTCCAAAAATGGGTCATTTGGGGGGGGTATGGTGCTATTCTGGCATTCCAGGGCCCCCGAAACTGTGTTAGGTAGTCAGGAAGTGTAATGAAGAAATAAAGCCCTTTAAAAGCCTGACGGTGCTTATTGGATTTTGGGGTCCTATACTTGGCTAGACTGCCAAAATGTCTCTCACATGTGGTACCCCCATATTCAGGAGAAGTAGCAGAATGTATTTTGGGGATTAATTCCACATATACCCATGTCTTGTGTGAGCAATACATTATTTAAATGACAATTTTGTGTAATTTTTTTTGTCATTTGCCAAAAAACTTGTGGAAAAAAAATAAATTTTTCTATTGATTCAACATGCCTCTCAGCAAATAGTTTGGGGTGTCTACTTTCCAAGAAGGGGTCATTTGGGGGGTGGGCATTTTATGCCCAGCATAAGTTTATGCCACACATCACTCACTCTTCTAACCACCTGAAGACCAAGCCTTTTCTGACACTTTGGGGTTTATTTACTAAAGCTGGAGAGTCCAAAATCAGACTCCCTTCTGCATAGAAACCAATCAGCTTCTAACCTCAGCTTGTTCAATGAAGCTTTGGCAATGAAACCTGGAAGCTAATTGGTTTCTATGCAGAAGGGGAGTCTTGATTTTGGACTCTCCAGCTTTAGTAAATAAACCCCTTTGTGGTCACATTAAAAAAAATCTGTATTTTTGATGGGAAATTAATTTGAACCCCCAAACATTAAATATTTTTTAGAGCAGACACCCTAGTGAATAAAATGGTGGGTGCTTCAATTTTTTTTTTATCTCACATAGTACTCACACAGCAATTTTTCAAACGCAATTTATTTGAAAAATATACACTTTTTTTAATTTTAATGCACAAAAACACAATATATTGGCCAATTATTTGGTAAGATATAAAAGATGATGCTATGCTGAGTAAATAGATACCAAACATGGCACGCTTTAAAATTGCGCATGCCCCGTACAATGGCGACAAACTACATACATTTTTAATATCTATAGGCAAAGCTTTAAAAGCCTTTGCAAGCTACCATTTTAGATTTACAGAGGAGGTCTAGAGCTATAATTACTGCCCTTGATCTGACGTTCATGGCGATACCTCACATGCATGGTGCAACCGCTGTTTCCATACTGGCACAGGGTCAACCCTCACGACCGCAGGTGCGCGTGTGCACGGGGGGACGAGGGTACTTTTTTTTTGTTATTCCGATTTATTTAATTATTTTTTACAAACTGTCCCGTTAATTTTTTTTTTATCACTTTTAATGCTATCACACGGAATTCAAATATCCCCTATAACTTCAATGGGCATTGTCATATATTCTTTTTTGAGAAATCTGGGGTCTATCATACTCTAGATATCTCCTCTGCCCTTACATTATCTAATCTCACCAAGATCGGTGTGATCAGATGCTTTCCCAATTTACAAATGGCGCTGTTTATATCCTGCGCAACTGAAGTGATGAAATGCTCGTAGCTTCTGATTTCTTAGACTATAGAAATGATTGCCACCATTCCGGTCTCCAATCAGCTCTATGATCAGCTGGCAGAAACACCGGCTGCATTCTCAGGTTTCCCCGATGGCACGGGACTGCCCGAGAAGGTCGTGGAAGGCAGCAGGGAGAGGGGGCATTTTCTCCCACTGCTTGTAAAAGCAATTCTGCAGTTAATTAGCCATTAGGATTGCTTTTACATGAAAGACCATCGCTGGCTACAAAAAAACGATACCAGGATGATGCCTGCAGCTGCAGGCATCACCCTGGTATAACCATTCAAAGTCCAATGATGTACCAGTACGTCGCTGTCCCTTGTTGGGTGTATATGCTATGTTATTTTTTTTCTTTATACAGCCTGTGGGCTGAATGGAAAAAAAGAGAAGAAATCTCTGCCAGAAAAAAAAAGTGTTAGTTGTGGTATGCCCACCATTAGAAAACTTCCCTTCATCCACCCACTTCTAATGGTGGGCACACATTAAATGTGCCAACAAATATAAAATATATATATGCCGAAGCATAGGGGCCATCAACCCACTGGCCACCCCAGGCCGCCATGCTTCGGCACATATGCTCTTTTTTTTAACTGCAGATGAAAAATCCCATCCAACAGCACTGCACACACCTACTTATGTATATTCTGAAAGCAAGACCCTATTGCTGTCAGAATAAACAATTCAGTGCTGCAGTTTGACATTCCTGCAAAGAAATCAACAATGGTTAACAATAAAAACAGTAACTCAATAAAAGAACTTTATAATTCAATATCTCTGCAAGGAAAAGTGTGTGGTGGTATGCCCACCATTAGAAAAACCTTCCTTCATCCACCCACTTCTAATGGTGGCACACATGAAATGTGCCAACAAATATAAAATATATATATGCCGAAGCATAGGGGCCATCCACCTACTGGCCACCCCAGGCCCCCATGCTTCGGCACATATGCTCTTTTTCTAAACTGCGGATAAAAAAATCTCATCCGACAGTGCTGCCCACACTGATTTATGTATATTCTGAGAGCAAGTTCCCGTTGCTGTCAGAATAAACAGGTCAGTGCTGCAGCTGAAAGCATTCCTGCAAACAGTAAAGTTAATAAAACAGTAACAATAAAACAGTAAAAGTAGAACAATAACAAAAATGACAATAATAAAAACTATAACTATTTTTGGTTTTTAACATTTTTAATTTTTTGGAGATTTGTACTTTATTTTTTTTTAACTTCTTTGTTTTTTCAAACTTTAACATTTAACATCTAAAACAGATAGTAGGGTCTCTCCAAATGCAATAGCCAGTTTCCTGACTACCTAAAACATCTTCGAGACCCTGTGTAAATGTGCCCTGAACTGTGCCGTGCTGTACCCTATACTAATACTCCACTAGTGTATGCTAGAGGCGGAAGCAGTTCTTGACGCAGAGGACAGGAGGGACAATAAAATGCCTCTCATGCAGCTGGCTAACTGCATCTGGGTTGGGGGTTTGGGGTGCAGCACCTCCTGGATACAAAAGGGCCCTGATGATCTCTAACTGGAATTTTAAGTAGGATCCACTATGTTCAGTTACTTTGTAAAAAACAAAAGCATTATATATAGCCAATTGAAATAAATAAACAGACACTTTTTTGTACCAGCGTCTGGCTTTTCGGGAAACTAAGTACGGCTTCATCATCTGGTCGTTGAAGTCCACCCCTCCCATGTTAAAGTTATAATCGTGGACACAGAGGGGCTTCTCAACAACACCAGCTGCCATGGCAATTTGGATGGTCGTATCTGCGTGAATGGAAGACAGGAAGAAACATCCCGTTTGTCCTTCCACTTCACTGCAAGCAATTCTTTGTTTCTTAAGCAGGCTTTTTCCCCTAAGATGGGTATTTACAAGCCGTTGGGGAAGCACTGGCGATTAAGTCGCACAGTGCCACATGCACAAATTCCAAGATTGTACAAATGTCTAAATAGTGGCACGCTTGAATAAAAATTGTCCACGTATAAGTGGTACCCCCATATGGAAAAAGGATGACACCAAGTCCCAAACTATCTTGCCACTTCTCCCCATGTAGTGTGGGCATCCGGGGGGCTCCACGTGACTATCTTTTCCCTCATAAATCCGAAACTTACATGTATAGCCTGTTGCCCTCTCACAGGTCTTATACACCTTGACCCCATATCTGGCACGCTTGCTGAGGAGAAATTGTTTGATTACAAGGCGGCCAGAAAATTG